TGTCTATTTTGGGAAACTGACAATGTTAGTGTGATCAGGCTGTACGTTCAATGCAATTCAGCTACTTCAAGATGCAGGTCTATGTTTAGTATTATTTCAAAGTTTGTTCATGCATACTAGACATCTAAGTCGTTATCTGGACTTTCATTGCTTCTTATAGGCTGCTCATGATACGATAGAAAAGAAACACACTTAATATGTAGGAAAACCTAGTTATAAACAAAGTTGGCAGGAGAGTCAGAACTATGTATAGCACTAGGAACTACTCAACTTCTTTTGCAGACCAAGTACTTCAACTTGAGATTTCCTTTATATACAATGCTAGTCAGTAAAGACAAATCTTGAACACAAAAACCTTTCTTGATATTTATTACACAGTTCAGATAAACACGGATTAAAAGCAGTTATTTAATTTTACGTTAAAAAAAGAAATCTGTACTGTACCTATCATAAATCATATTCAACAAAGGATGTGAAAAATTAGCTGGGCCCCAAATAGCACAGTCATATCCGTAAAGTTTTGCATGGGACAAATCGATGTAGTTACAGCCAGTAATATTGCCCCAAACAATCACGTCTTTAACCCCTGTAACAGAGCAAAATACATCGATTAAGGAAGAGACAGACAAATATTTTCACTACATAGGCTGGACTAGATGACCTTCAGAAGTCCCTTTCAAGATGAATTATTCTTCAATTCAGTGTCCTGCCTTGATAGAAGAAATTATTTGATCTGAAAAATGCAACAAGGTTCTCTATAACATGAAACCTCATCACAAGCTGAAAAAGGAACTTTAAAATATCTAGACTCCAAAATATCTAGACTTGTAATTGATGACCAGTTCTTACCCTCGCAACACAAAGAATCCTGATGCTGAGCAGGCTGCTGGAGCACACCTTTGCTATGCAGTGCAGAACCACGCAAATATAACCAAGCTAGAACAATTGACCTGAGAAAGAAAGCTAATTAACCCAGAAATAATACAACAACACAGTTCTACTATACTCTCATTACCTGCACAGCAGTACGTTGTTATGTTTATTCACAGCTAGTTTGTGTGTCTCCAAAATAACAATGCGCTACAGACTGCAAATGCAATCTTGAAGTCCTAGTTCCTGATCTGCAACACAGCTCAGTCCTTCTTAGTATATTTCCAGCATGAAATACACACCAGAATGACAGGGCTGCATCCAAGAGTTAGCAGAAGAATCAACATTCATGGGATCAGGCACAGATCCAGATAGCAATAAGCACAGAAACCAGTAGCACCCGCTAGTCACCCCCTGGCATTCTGTACAGGCATGTGATTCAGTGGCTAAACACCGGTGCGTGCATTTTTACATCAACAGTGTTCTGCAATGAACTATGTACTCTTTAAGGTGTCCACACACTGATTTCCCCAAATGCTGCCAGATCACACAAATACTCACCAGCTGCATTCATATTCAGCTTCCTGGCCAGCATGGCTTTAGCTGCACTTTCCCAGGATGTTGCAACAGCAATGATGTTTTCAGGCTTAATGGACTGGCCATATGCCATAATCATCATTGCCTTAAGGTTTACAAAGGTTTTTCCTGATGAAATTACTCTGACACCACTCTTGGCATTCTTCTCAATCAGAGGAGCATACACTTGACAGATCTCACTCACTTCTCTGATGTAGTTCTCAAGGGACTGGACTTCACGGTTTAAGAGGACATCATCAAGAACAATGATAACATCAGCTTGAATAAAAGCCTCATTTATTTCAGTGTGCTCTGAAATACTGCGGAGGAGTGGGAACGCCATGTCTTCGGCTTCCATCACAATACCGCAAAGAACATCCTTAAACTGGCCAGTGTCGAGCAAATGGATACTGATTTCTGTGGTCATCCCAAACACTTCTCCATTGGCCAACAGAGGGATCAGCTGATAACAGATTGAAGCAGATGCACTGATAAGAGAAGGATATAGAAAAATTATAGTTAACCACTAACCACTGCTTGTTTGGAAGTATTAAATAAATAAATAAATAAAAGCTCTCTTGTTAAACATCATTATGTTTAAATACCATTAGCTTGGATCTTTTATGGCTCTTCCTGTCATTTTAACAGGTTAAAAATTAAAACAGTTGGGTTGTCCTTTAATTTGAAGGTTTTTCCATCCTATATATTTCAGGAGATACTGTAACTTAAAAATTGTTGTCTTTAAAGAACCACAGTTTTTTAAAGGTCCTCTGTTAAGGCTACCAGAAATACAGAAATTTCTAAAGCTAGAACTGCAAGAGACTCTTTACTTATTCAAATATTTCCCAAAACATTTAATGGAAGATAGCTGCATTCCAAAATTCCTAGCTTACTTTGTAAATATTTGCTTTTCCCTAAGGTGGTCTGGGGTCTAATGTTGCCTGTTCACATCCCCCACTTAGACTGGTGCAAAATGTAACAAAAGTAGAAATAATTTCTAAATTATATACTGAATGCTCATAGTGAGGGGCACAGAACCTAATTCAAATCAGTAAATTACAGGGATTCACGTATAAATTCAGATGGTTACATCTGTTATACATGACAAGAAAAAAGGCATTCTTCTGAAGCTGAGTGAAACTTCATACATATTCTTTTTACTCTCACCTGGTGATCCAGATCTGCAAAGGCTTGATAAGACTTTTAATCTCTTCCTCCTCTTTTTCAATTTCAATATGCGCCTGCAGGTTCTCCTCAGCAATGTCTAACATTTCCTCACTCAACATCATTGAGGTGATGCCATAATAGCGCTAAGAACAAAAAGGGTGATTTCTAATCAAATGACAGCCCAACACACAAAGGTAACAGTAGAAAGGATAGATTTATTTTACATTTGTAGGAGGGATAAAGAACATAAATGTTACAAGAAAATGTAAAATATGGGTTTACAGTATTAAAGGCAGCTCATTACCTGAGCATATTCCAGAAAATCGTCAACTCCTCCCAGAAGGAGACCCTTCCCTCCACGGTCCAACAGTTCTCTCCAAATGATAGGAGACTGGCTGTGTTCCCATCCATTCATTTCACAAATGTCATGAAGCCACTGCTAATGTAAACATCCCCACCAAAAGGTTTTAATACTTTTTCACATTTGATAACACTTAAAAGGTACAGCTATAAACATTATTTCCTCTCAATACATAATTACAAGGTGCTTCACAACTTACTCGTGTAGCAGTCAGTGCACATAAAATGGGGGAATAACACAAAGCAAGGCATGGTGATACACTGTGATACCTCAGCAAAAGAGCAACAGGTCTTACTTCTGCTTGATTTTACTGCTGTAATTTTTCTCGGTTATCTTAGCAGTACTAAAGACAGCCATGTTGTGAAGCAGCAAGTAATTTGAGGATCCCTATTTTAGCTGCAGAAGGTAGGTAAGCTGCAGAGGTTAATTGCTATTCACTTAACTGTTCAAATTACTTGGCTGAAGTGTCAAGCAAAAGATAAGAAGTAATAAACACCATGTCTATCTCATGAAGTAATACTGCCATTTTTTCAGTTCCTTATAGGAACTACAGTGTAGACATGGCAACATGTCTACAGCAAAAATACTCAGAGAGGCCCATCCGTGTTTTAAACAAATATGTGAGATTTAATTTCATATTTCCATTGTAGTCCAAAGCCCTTAAATCCCAGAAATGTTCTTGGCAAGTAACAACTCCGAAGGCATATGCAATTGCAGTTTGCAAAAGATTTACAGGCTGAGTGGCCATTTTTACATAATAAAAAAGAAATAAACTTGAACTTCTGACTGACAAAACACAGCTTCAGGCTGGCCCTCATTTTGTGCCCATCTTTTGTGGTAAGACTCACAAGAATGCCAGTCTCCTGCAACATTCAAACCCTTCCTCTGGCTGGCTCGCATAGCCAACGCTGCTTCAGTAGCACCTCTACTCCCATATCAAAATGCTAGTACAGGACAAGAAGAGACATGCTACAGATACGCACATTCCTTGCTTTGTAGAGCACTGGGGCATCTACCAACGACTTGACTTACAATGCCTTACCTCCCATTTGTCAGGGTGCTGAGTGACCTTGTGAACCCTGAAGTCTGGCAAGTTAGCCTGGAGATAGTCAGCCAGAAGTTCAGCTTTGGCATAGTAAGGGCAGTTTGCCTTACCTGCGAACACAGCGACAACACCACAAAGGGAAGATTTTGTGACACTGACCGATAAGGTCTTAACGGGCCAAACGTTTTTTTAATTGTTCCAACTCGAAGAGAGCCTTCTGTAACCAGCACCCCGCGAGTTCCCAGAAAGTAAGAAGACAAGCATAGAAAAGAAGATAGCAAAGAAAAGAGAATTTCGGAGGTGAACAATCTCTTCAGCAGGCGTTTACAGGGGCTGAGGAGGCGGCCCCGCGGGGGACAGCAGCGGGGAGAGGCAGAAGCCTCACCGACGGAATGAGGCGGGGCGAAGGCTGACTGGCAAACCGCTGAGGCAGCGTGCCGCGCAGACACCGCGCTCAAGCGAGAATACAAGAGCGAAAAGTTACGAAGGCCGCGGAGACGAGCGGCCGCCA